TTTCTATCCAAATTATAAAAAATGAAGAATAATAAAGTGCCTACAAACGACTATTAATTGGATCTAAATTCATTTTATTTAACAAAAAATATTTAACGTAAAAGAGGAAAACGCTACTTATCAAACAACCAGTTACATAAACAAACGTGTACCAAATATACTTGCAACCCTCGTCAAATGTTTTCCCTCTGAACCGGGACTCAAACCACGCAAAACAAGCGCTTTAAAAAAGAACTCATCCCCTTTCTCCTCCTCCTAAAAAAAAAAAAAAAAAGGTAATACCAGAGACCAGCAACAACGATCGGTTTGCAAACTGTATTTTCAAAAAAACTGAAAGAAAAAAAAAAATCAAGGCGAAATAAAAGGTGCTCGAAGTCGAAGGGAAGAAGAAGGTGCTATAATATGCAAAATCGCGTCGCGTTGAATCAAATTCAAATTGGAGACGATCTAACGCGATAGTTTACCTGTATACCGCGGAAACCTGAGACTCGTTACGCCGGTATACGATTAAGCGGCGGGCGAACGAGTTTATCTCTCGATCATTCCGCTCGAAATGCCCGAGCGGGTGTGGTACCGGCCGTATTCGTTGGGATCGGTCAGCTAGCCGGTTGTAACGGAGCTATAAGATCTGCTGTTCCGTTCGTTGCTTTGCATCGCGTACTTACTCTCTTTCTCTCTCTCTCTCTCCTCTTTTCTCTCCCCCTCTATCTGTCTACCATACGTCGCCGTGTTGGTGCACACGGGCTTCACCTCGGTTGGACAAGTGTGCGATCCTAGAAGGATAACGCGTATATGCGCCACGACTTGCTGGACCATTTGCGAACCCATGAGAAAGACCGATGGACGCTTATACATATTAATAGCTACACGTATATTACTCATATACCGGGAGAGCTCTCGACATTTCCCTCCCTTTCCAAGATGCATCTTTTCCATCTTACTCTCCCTTCTTTATTTCGCGATACATATTTTGTTCCCCTTCTCCCTGTGCAACGATTTCGATATTTTCGCGACGGATGGCCGTCGTGAATATACATGCGAGTATACGTTATACACGTATATTTCACGTGGTGTACAGGCGACGCTTCTTCGTGCAGATGTTTTCGTTTGGCCGTCGTTCCATTGGTTACGGAAGAAAAGAGGGAGGGTCGTGAAAGTACAAAGCGTGAAACGACGAGTTATGAATTTAGATTTAATATATATTCTTCGTTATTTTCTTTTTTTTCTTTTTTTTTTATCAGTAATTATTACAGTTACTCCATCTCGTAAGATTTGTAATACATGCGTAGTTTCGATTAGATAAATGTCTTTAAATGTAAAGAAAAAAAAAAAAAAAGAGCAATTATAGAATATATAGAATTGTATAAATTAATGCCAGAAATTTTAAATTAATTAAACTTGGAATTATAAGAAATATTTGGAATCAAAAAAATTATTAAAAAAAATTTGTATTTAGCATTTTTTGACCAAGTATATTTTTCTAATACAAAGTAAAAAATTTGAATTACCTAATACAAAGTGAAAAATTTCGTCTGTCTCGGAATTTTTGGAAAAATTTTACCTGCCACTTCCTGTCCAATTTATATTCTTCCGCTTCAAAGTTGAAATTTTTGATTTTAGCAAAATTTTTATTCAAATTTATAATTTTACAATAGAGAAATATAATTGGAGAGACATAGATGTGGAATTTTTTTCGAATATTTTTTCATCATTAGAAATTTTCAATCAAATTTTAGATTTGTGCATTTGAAGAATATAATTTGAGAGAAGATGGCACGTTGAAATTTTCTGGAATTTAATCCAGTTATCTGATTTATACTTATCTTTTAAATATATATTTGATTCTGCACTGTGCTGCTGTATTTTCAGGAAAAAAAAAAAAAAAAATTTCACTTAATTATAATCATGGAATTTAATATTTTTCACTTATTGTGTTTAAACACATATGAAATAAATTTGATTTCCATCTTTCGCATTTTGTGTGTTATGAAAATAACAAATAGCTTATTTAAATAGGTATTAAAAAGTTAACGTTGACCATAAAGTTGACCATGAAGATTTTTAACAACCGAGGATGTTGGAATTAATTATAAAATTTTAATCAAACGTATACACACTCGTATAAACACATACTTTAATTAAATACATATTTGCAAAGCTTTCTAAAGTTTTAACGTTACATTAATAACCACAACCGTACACCGTAAAGTGTTCAAACAATTTTATTTTGAAATGAAGCCTATATTATATTACATCTACTGAATGTATATATATATATATTACTGAAATTTACAGCTCTGTAATAAAAAGAATAGAAAATTTATTTGTCGATGAATCGTCGGTTATTAATATAATTCTGATGGGTTGCAAAAATGTATGGAAAATGGTGCGATTATGGATCATGCATGATGCATGATATCCCGCAATTTTATCAGAAAGCATTAGTAGGAGAAGAGCGTTGTGGCGGATCGTTTCCTATCGTTGGAATTAATTATAAAATACTTGTTACATTATGTACCGGTGAATTCATTTTCTTCCTTCTGTACCGGCACGCGTACAAGGCTTAGAAAGTTGGAAGTTGGTTCATTGTCCTCCTCCGGACGTGAGAAATACGCAAAATACTTCTCCTTCTGTCGAGAAAAATAATCGCATTTCACCTAGCTGGCAAAGCAAATACCTTTCACGCTTATTAACTCTTTCTGTCCTCAAGGTACTTTCAAGGACCTCCGCCATTAAAACACGAACATGCTTACAGGCCTGATGCTAGTTATACCAGAACCACTTTCAGTTGCAATTCCGTGATGTACCCGGCTTATCTGAAAAGTAACGGGATCGTAAATAAGTGCATTAATTTAAACATCGATCGTGCCGATATTTTCTTACCTTTTTTATCGGGGAGACTGGGCGTGATCAAAAGAATCAATCGTCGAAATTTTTCAAAAATTTTACGCCCAAGTAAAATTATTATTCATATGATAATACGAAAAAACGAATCCGAATTTTATTTTTTTAAAAAAATTATTCAGGGCAGGAAGGATCATGAGATTTAGAACGTGGCAACGCGATATAAAAGACGTGTTTTTCGCTTTATCCGATTCGTTAAAATCGCGTTCAAGGCGGGATTAACAACGTCGCTCAAATCGAGTAATCCACGAGTATCGCGTCGATCTGTCCACTCTCTCCTTCCTCCCTTTCCTTCGTGTCTCGCTAAAATATTACCTAGCCGAATGTCATTACGACGAGAAGCTGCCGCTCCAATTGTTATTTTTTTCTCCTTTTTTTTTTTATTTCAAAACGTGGACGAGTCGTGATTATTCGCGAAATAGCGCGCGGGGCACGCGCGGAAAAATCATGAATAACACGGGGACGTGGAGGCGCATCTCTATCGATATTGAAGCGGTTGTTGTGCACCGCGACGAGAATAAGTCTCGCCACGCTTTTCACCTGTATTTTTGCATCGGATCCCGCGCAATTTACGCATGCAACGAGCGTAGAAAGCTAGAAGACGGTTCATCGCACGGGAGAACGTGAGAAATACTTACACCATTCTACTTCTCTCTCTCTCCACCTTCTCCTCCCTCGTATGCTCGCATACTCGAACTAGTATATATATATATATATACTAAACTACGTTCGTGGATGGAAAAAAGAAGAAGAAGAAGAGAAAAAGAAAAAAAAAAGGAATAAAAGCGCGGCTGCACTTCCCCGCCCCTATTAAACAGGTAGTTGCCGGATAAAAACAAAACCGCTCCTCTGCGTGGCCGCGGTTTAGAAAAAAAAAAAAAAAAAAAGGGAAAAAAAAAATGCTCGTACCAGGAGAATCTGACAATGGGGGTGGGTGAAAACGGTGGGTGAGGACAGGGGGTGGATGGGTGGGAGGAGGAGGAGGTTTAGAAAATCGTTCGTTGCCGTCGAATAGATGCGATTTTATTCATAGTACAGCGAGAATTATCGGGTTACTATCGGGGATTTCATAAGCGGCGAGTGTTCTCGATTATTTTTCACGATTCTCCCACCGCGCGGCTCGCTCGATGAATCGTTGCTTTGCCTCCGCTCCGCTCGAATAAATAGAAAAGGGAATGTATGGAGGGGTAGAACGAAGAAACCGGGGAAATAAATACAAAAAGAAAAGAAAGAAGAAGAAGAAGAAGAAGGAAAAAAGAGAGAAGAGTAGAAAAGTAAGAAACGAACGAGCGCGGAAAAGGAGTAGTAGAGGAAAAAAAAAAAAAGGAGGAAAAGCAGAGATGCTTGCACGTATTAATAGCTGTAGGTATGCTTAGGTACACGTACGTTCAAGCACTTAGTATCCGCAAGTGCACGCGGTTAGGTAAGTATCGGTCCGTTCTTTACGGCCAACGTTTCGAACGTTTTCCAATGGGGGAATACTGTATGTGTAAACCCGATCCAGTTTAGACACCCACGTGGCCCCCTCCATTATCCCGATCGTGTCCACCGTTTCGAAGGAGAAGAGAGATCTTGTTTTATTATCCTCGCCGGTATACTCATATTCTTCGTCGAAATCACTGACCAGACACGGATAACGCCCGCTCTTTTCGAGAAACACCGTGGATACGAGGATGGAGTATGTATATATATATATATATGAAAACGATGGTGAGAGAAGGAAGAAGAGAGGATAGGCAGGTAGATATAGGTATCAATAGCCGGGGATATATAGGTGCGCGTTAAGAGACAGAGACCGGTTCACGCTTTACGACAATGTAACCGTGCTATTCACAGGACTCAATAGATAGGATCTATATCTACGCTCGAGAAGTGAACCAATGCAAACGCCCACGCGGTCTCCATTATCCGTGTCGCACCACGTTTTTCGCCGGGGGGATATATTAATTTCGTTGGAAATGTACGATATGCCGGCTCCTTAATTCTTTTCAGATTTCTAAAAGATTTCCTTTTTATCGATAACAATTCCGTTCTTAATTAAAATTTCTTGTTTACTACATCTGCTACTATTTTTCCAACGATACGTTCCGTTTGAAGTGTTCAAAAGTTGAAGAAAATAAATAACGCTCCCTATATATTGAATTTTCTAGTAGATCTGGAAGCGGTCTAATTATTTTAAGAAAGAGACTATAATGATAGAAAATAAAAAGGTTTGACGAATAGTTAAGAAACGTCTTAATTGGAAATATACATGGCATACGAAAAAAAAAAAAAAAATTCAAATTGTTCGCTACAAAATAATATAATAAATTGCAATTGTTTTATTATTTACCAAAATATACAGCAGTGATTAAAAACCCGAATGATTTTATACGTTCGATTATTCCGGATGATCCAAAAATCGAACGTAACGAACGTATGGAAAAATATTATAATAACGACAGATTAATCTAGAATAAATAACCATTTCGAATTTTCAGGCTTAAAATATCAGAGAGCATAGAACGTAGAATCGTATCGAAATCGATGCGTGTACCCACAAGCGTCTCTCCCCTATTCTGCCTCCACCCCTTTCGACATATTTTATTTTTCGGTATTCAGGCCGAATGAAAATTACAAACGTTATCGCGGTCAATACAATTACCGCGATAAATTTGAACCAACGAATAAATTCCAGCGACGGGTGGCGAGGAGTCTACGTGGAAAAAAAAAAAGAAAAAATTACAATTGAATCGAGGGGAATGAAAAATTGGCGGAGGTGGCTTTCATTCGATGAAATGTTTCGAGAAACCGAATCAGCGAACATCGAGCCGCGTTACATACACGCGTATTATATATATATATATATATATATATTTTCTCGTTTCTCGCCCGTTTTATTATCGAAACCCTATGAGAACGTTATGGAAATTTAAAACGACGAGAAGGGAAGGTTGGACAACTGCGTGAGGTAAATACACGAAGATCGGTAAGGAATTATGAACGATCTGGAGTCTCGACGGTTCTCGACGATACGAAACGATTCGTTTCAAACTTGTTCCGTAAGTCGCGTCGTCATCCAGATACATTTAATTTGCCAAGGTAAATACGTTGCATTTATAATAAACCCGAGAGAAACTCTGGAACGGGTGCAATTATTCGAGTTAAACGTACAGTCGTATCGTATTTACAGGTATTGGCGAGTGAAAAAAGGTATATTTGAAAAAAATCGTTTACGAGAATCTGTAAACTTTTTCAATGCGCCACATTTTATTTATCTTCCGTAATGTAATGGATGAGTTGAAAATCAATGCATGCATCGTTGCTATTATACTTTTCGTAATATTTCTTCCTTTTCTTTTTTTTTTTTTTTTGTAATTAAACGGAAAGAAGAAATTAAACAATTTAACGGGCGACAAACTTCGTTGAATCGACAAGGGGAAGAAGGGATCTTCGTCTCTTTCTTCCTTTATTTTACTCAATCATATTTAACAAAATTTACTTGAAACACTTTTTTTGCTTTCATTTTATTATTGCACAGTTAAAACGTTACGATGGAGAATATTATTCTCAAGAGAAATCCTTACATCAAATTCCGGAAAATTATTTTATTAAATGTTCGATACGATCGTCCTTGGAGTGATATAGCCATTAAAGTTTATGGGTTAAAACGATGAGTTCGATTCTTATAACAGAGGAAGATATGAAAATAAGAACAAGCACTGCACGTGTATCGATTTCTCTATTAATGTTATCAACTGCTCGAAGCAAATTTGTGAAAAACTCGATAAGTATTTAAAGGATTCATGAATATTTACTAAAATAATTTTTAATGCAGAACAATGTGAAAGAGGAGGGAAAAATATATACAAAAAAAAAAAGAAAGTAAGAAAATTCTCTTTGTTACCCATCATCGAAGATAAGATATTTTAAAATCATTTTATAAAATTGAATTTATTATTAGCTCTTCTGTTCCATTTAATTTATATAAAAAAGAAAGAAAAGAAAAATTGAAATCAGTATCTGTACTGATTTCAGAAAAAAAGAAAAAACAGACATTTTATTCGATACCAATTGTAACGTTTTATTTACTTTACATATACGCGTATACTTTCTGTTTAACTGAATGTTTCGTAAAAATAATGGTAACGCGTTTATAGAAATAAAATCTACCCGATAAAATTTGTTTGGTAAAAATTTTTAGATACCCCCTAATTGAAATTGTGCGATATTGGCGAAGAATTTTATTCCATTTCCCGATCAACGCATGTAACGCGATGCGTTATACGCTGTTTGGATGAAAGGAGGGAGTGGTACTTACATTTATTTAAAATGTTTACACATTGATATGGTGTTTAATTAAGTAAATGACAACGCGAGGAGGCGAGATATCGATGAAATTCTACCAAACTGCTCGTTCCTGTCAGCCTTTGTGACACACTGGACGAGATACTGCATGTAACGATTGCTGTTGTGACAAATCAAATTGATCAGTCCATCATTGCACTCGCAGTACGAATAAAACCGATGTCACATTGTTTCCGTATCCTATAACTTTTTCATACGTTGAAAGTATTCTTCCCTGTTTCCATCGAAAATTGTATACAATATAGGAATAGGAATAGAAAAAAAAAAAAAGAAAAAAGAGAAAAGAAAAAAGATGCATGATCATGTACAACGCAGCTTTTGTACATTAAACGGGCGGATATTCGTTTCTTTGTGTGCCAATTCAATTCACCAATTTATTGCGGTATTAAAAGTGTATGAAATATCGATACTGAAACTTATCGCGAATTTGTTAGTTACGATCATCAATACGTTTTATATTTCCAATTTTATTATGTTATTCATACTTCTGTTATACACCTGGAAAAGAAAATAAATATAATTCTATTCCAGAAAGAAGAAATACGTTGCGCGTAAATATTGCTAA